AAAACACCCATAAACTTTTGATTATTACGGATAGGTCCTCCCAGATTTCTAATTGGCCCCCCCCCAAAACACTAATTGATTCATTAGCGCCCCCCCATCTAACTTATTGAAAATTTTTAACACAAAACTTTTAAATTTTTGGGCCATTACAGATCAAGAAAAATAAACCACCGCCTTTATCACAATTGTAGATACAATTGAGGTAAGGCATGTAGCTAACATGAACCCAAGCTCATCCTTGATGATCTAATTGAAAAGAGCTTACCGTAGTAGCTCGTCGCCATTGCCTAAATTTAAAGATGAGTTTTTCACCATGCAAGTGTAGATGAAGAATGAGGTCATCAAAGCTATCTGCGACACAAAAAGCAAGAAGAACCTAGTCACCAAAAGTTTTGTAAAAGGGTTTTGTTTTGGAAATAGCGTTGCACCCTCACCCTTGTACCTTAGAGTGATACATAATGATATAGATTAGAAGGTTGAATGGTAGTGCAAAATCTGTTTTTACTATCACCAAGCAATTCATTATCGTGATGGTATGGGATGGTGGTATTAGTTAGCGTTTCCCACATCATCCTTAGCAGCCCTCTATCTATGGAAGAGAAACACCATCTACCATCATCGAGAACAAAAGTATCACCTCAAGAAGAAGGGTAAAACATTTATCATTCGTAGGAATGCTTCAAAACAAACTGAGAAGTGGTGATAGCCAACACAAAGCAGCGATACTCATAACGTAGTTCAACCACTAAAATCCATCTGTGTCAAAAATGAGCTAGGCACTATTCCAAATCAACGGTTCAAAGGTCAAAAATAGTGCATATGTCAAAAGAGATAAAGAAGGAAATCCAAAATCCAGTGAAGGCACAATGCCCACAAAGCCCAAAATCAAACCCAGGAAAGTCCAAGCTTAAGCAAAACAACTCACACTGAGCTTCGAACCAATCCACTACCTGTACGGGAAATTATTATTTTGTAATCTATTTTCTTCATTGTTTACTTTACAGGAAATTATTGATCATTTGTATGAGTATAAAAATGTTGACTTTTCTATGATACAAAAAAAGTTAGCTTTTTGTAAGAGAAAATTTTGAGACCAAATTTCTTATTAAGCCAACTTTTTCAAAGTTTTCTTATCTTATTCCGAACACCAATTTACAGCTACGAACTTTTTGTTAAATAACCATCGAAAATTCAATCCACCCAAAGCTTAATTTTCAAGTAGCTGCAGCAAATGTGCAACAGAAGAAAGGAAATAACAGAGCTCCATTTTACAGGCACAACGGCAACTTACCGACAAGTACAAAAGCCATACCCAAAAGAAAGGAAAGAATCAATTGCGGGGGGGGGGGGGGGGGGGGGGGGGGTTGTTGTGTGTGGTGCAATATCGCCTAGACCTCCCGAAGAGCCTATCAATCTATCAACTTCATAAGATTCTACCACCTAGACTATTTTTTGAATCACGAATTGTTAATTTGAAAAGCTATAGCTGCTCAATTTAGAAGAAATTAAGTCAAAGTATGGGCGGCAATCTAGGTCGTGCAGTATACTAACAAAAAGTAATATGATTTCAATTTATTGAAAGAAACACATTTATAATACACAAAGAAAACGATTATAACATTAAAAAAAATATTTGATTGAACAGGAATTTGACACAATAACTTCATTTTATTATCAATAACATACTAATAATTTTAAATGAAAAGTTGAAATATTTTAATTTTGACACAAATTCTACAAGATTTAAGACATGGCCGCGGTCCGAAAAACACACAAACTGCCACCCCTAAGCCAAGCAAATCAAACAAACCGAGCTAATCAATAACACATGATTTTTGCTTTGACACAAAGAAACATGACACATAACAGTCACATCTAGGCCAAATGCAGAGTAGCATGGATAATTATTTTGTCAATCTTCTGAATCTTTCGGTACTTCCTAAATGCTAAGACATGAATGCATAATAACACCGCCAAGAAGACACGAGTGAGGATTCATTTTTCCATACACCATTTTCTTTCCCCTCATACAGTGCTAATTCTGAATCATCCAATTAAGCCCATGAATAATTCTCTATTTAACCCAACGAAAATTAATCTAAGGAATAAGGATTATGCGCCCATTTTATAGTCCCAACACTGGCTCACTGCTTTGACATAAATCATCCCTGTATCCCCATGTGCATGGACCGTACAAAATCTTCATGAAGTAGTTAACGATGAGCTGCTGAAAAATGATGCACATTTATGTATGGCATTGTTTCTACAGAAGAAAATGAGCTCTTATGTTTTACATCATAAAGATATTGGAATAATAAATAGTTAATTTAACAGTTGCATAAACAAAGCATTTCTATGTATCTGTCCTACACAAGAAATTAAGATTTGATGCCTTACATCATTTCAATGATCAAATTTGGTTTCTGACAGTCTAAATGAAGAATGGACCTTCTGTTTTGGAGTCCAAAGAATTAATCCTACGCAAACCTTAATAGGTTTTTGATTTTCTGAAAAATCAATTGAGGACCCCTTCCCCGAGCCTGTCAGTGCCAAAGCTTCAGGCAAAACCCAGATGGCACAACAGAGGATCTCTTGCTCGAAATAGCTTCTGAAAAAGTGTCTACAAGCTGACCTGCTAAAGATGCCGGATCTTCGATAAGGGTATCGACAAAAACCTTTACAACCCTCATTTCTTGCTGCGTTGCTCTTAGGCTATACCAAGTCAGAAACTTCTGCCTAAAGGTTTTTTCAATATGCCCTTGACACTCCAACCATCTTACCACTTTCACATAATACTCAAAATCCCTACTTTCATTTCCTGAATTTTCTTCATCTCGTCTCTCCACACATTCTCTTCTTTGACGAGCTTCCAGCATGGGGCTCCTCTTCTCTCCCAGACCCACTATCAGATCCTTATTGCTAGGTTTGAATCTCCCACTTCTTCCCACCCCATCCTTTGTGTTATTCTCCAACTTGCAAGGCGTAATGGGCAAGCCAGCTTCTCCACCTGTTTGAACATGAGTATTTGAACCATTCTCCATGCTTGTTTCTTCAAGAGTTTTGTCCTTCTGGTGAATCCTTGTTCTCAAGATTTAAAGCATCAGAATTTGGGATGGAATTACTGGTTCCTGTGGCAACCCCCACTTCCAACAAAGACACAGAATCTCCTGGAGCTTCATTAGACAAATTTGCAGGGACAAATTTCTCGATGCTCTTGCAATAGCTATGACCATTGTCCTCTCCATTTTCATTCTTTTTGCTACAGGAAGCAATGTTGTTATTTTCATCTTCCACAGAAGAAGGATTAGACAAACTGCTATAGTTACTTCCTGGGCTTTCACTTCGTTCCACTACCAATTCTTTTGCAGGGGGGGCTTCATTTATAGGACTGTTTGTTTGTAAATGAACTTCACATGTCCCCAACTCACCAGTGCTATCAAAGTAGACCACCTTAAAAACATACTCAGTGGCTGGATTTAGACCAGACAGTAAAAATGTTTTGTTAGGTTTAAACAATGTGCATGTTGGTTCTGCTGGATAGTCTATATCTTCAGCTTTACGATGCCACAAGGTATACCCCAGAATATTTTCCAGTTGTGGATCTTCAGAACCCAATATTACAGTGAGGGAAGAAGCACAAACATCTTGAAAAAGGATTATATTTGAGGTTGTTGAATTGGATTCTGCAGACAATAAAATTCCATTTAGCTTTTTAAAATAACAATTTGCTTTTATGCTTGTATAAGAAAGAATTACAAATGAAAAGATATCCATAAATATCTAAAGAGAGTAATGACAAAGACTAAAGACAGTATTTCCACAACCAGAAAGTCTTATATATTTCCAGGAGCAAAAAATTAACATGCCATGTGTAACAAGGAAAAAAACAACCAATAACTCCAGTTTCTTAAATTCAGCCCGATTGGATTTGTTTTTGGAAACAGAAAACCTGTTAGGCAGCCTGTTCATACACACAATTTTCGTAAGAATTGTACAAAAAACATGCCCATATTTAGAAAACAATTGAAGTGGCTTTCAGAAATCTCAGAAATTATTTCCTCTTGAAAATGAAAATAATATGGAAACAGTAGAATTTTCAAGAAATTCTGAGTTTCTGTTCAAAAAAAATTGAAAACAGCAAACCAAAAACAGAATACAAATCCAAACCGAAGGTCCAGGCAGGCGAGGAAACTCTATCACAAAATAACTAGGTCATTCCTCTTGTCACACATGGGTAGCAACATATCGATGGAAAACCATCAGAACTGGGTTATAGGGCTAAAGAACAGAGATGAACCTGAATCACATGATTACCTGGCAAATGGCAAATGACTTTGGAAAGCATTGAATCTAAGGACTCCACTGCAGAAGCACAGAGTCTTTGCACTTCAGGACCTGAAGGAAGTCTGTTGACAATACCCCTTGCCATCCTCACAGGTAAACCAGTTAAAGGACCCACATCCACTTCAAGTTTCTTTACTGCTTCATCTACAATTTCATAAAGCTTCTGATAGCTTCTGGTACCGGAAAGAAGCCTTTGACCTAGAGACACACGATAGCACAATATATCAACCCGCCTTGTATCCTTTGCTGTCATCATTTGTTTTCTCCAGCATCTGAAGATTTTGAAAAAGTCAACTGAATGAGATATTTCCAACAGTTCTGTTAGCCATTTGTTACGGAACTATATGATGAACACTTCACCCAGAAGGCAACAATTTCACTCCAATTAAACAATACAACGTGGCCAATATTCAATTCTGATAAAAATTCAATTTTCTCCTCCTATATAATAACTATATATTAAAACCTGCAAATGTGGCAAAATGATAACTTGATTCCCCCACAACAAATTGTTAATTCAAATTAAACTATGTCCCTAGATACATAGTTTACATTCCATAAACCAGGATTCTTTTTCAGAAACATTAAATCTATGCCATACACCCACTATCCAAAACACAAGATGACAAGCGGAACCTATCATAAGTTAGAAAGAGATAATGAAAAGCTTATATAGATTTTAATTGATCCCTTCATTTTCTCAAGAGATAAAGATCCTCCTTACCATACAAGAAGTCATGTGTGAAGAGGCCATGATCCAAAAGAATATAAGATAACTGATCAATAGATAAGTCATTCACATAATAAATAAAAAGGTTAGTGCATCAATTTATTAGAATATCAAAACGTTGATTAATCTTACCTAATTCTCTCCACCATTACTAGATTATAAATTCAACATGTCCTAAAAGATAAAGGATTTCCAAAAATCCAATGAATATCAGCCACTATTCTCTGGAAATCACCAACATTCTAAATTCCATCCAGCTACTGTTCTCTGCATATCATCAAAACTCCTTCCATTGAAAACCAATACTAAAAACCACCCAAGTCCTTACTCACATGAGGCTTAACCTAAAAGCTTTCCAGTGCCAGCAGAATCCTAAAAAACTTAGGTCATGCATACTAAACTTATCCTGCTTCAGTCAGCCTTATGAACAAATATGCTCTTATTTTAGTAGCAAATCATGTGATACTTGCCCTTAAATAGAATTAATAGAAAAAACTAAAGAAATGTTAAGAAGAAGAAGAAGAAGAAGAAGAAAAAATAATAATAATAATAATAATAATAATAAATAAAAGAGAACATCTGTCACATTCTAACAATCATATAGACAGAATAGAGAAATCTCCATTTCTAAGACATTTACAACACCTTGCTAATCCAATAAAATTCTTACACTTCATAGAGATTCCAAAACCTAATTCAGGGATAAAACACAAATATTGATTAAAACATTTATCATGAAGAGATTTTCAATGATGACGAACTGTATTATCAACTTTATTACATAAGTAGGATAAAAGGATTTAAAAATGCAAGAGAAGTTGTAAGCAAAGAACAACTGGACTTATGTGATTCCTTAGTTCATCCTTGTTGCAACATCAAACAATCTATTAAAGGACACCAAGAAAGAAATACAATCTAAACGAGGAAACAGAATTGGAGACTTACCCAAGCAAATCATTCACTTTCCCGCAAGACACACAAGAGAAGCTCCCATCCATAGCCTGTTTCGCAATACCAGATTTTTCATTCTTCAAAGCACATTCCAAATGGCATGACATGCCACACGAATTGCCCTGAAAGGGAGGCTCTGAGCTACATGTTAGCCACAAGCTAGGATCCTTGTTGTCATCATACTGATGACATATGCAGCATGAGCACCGCTTGCAAAATTTATCCACTTGACTTAATTTAGCTCTGCAAGCTGAGTTCTTGCAGTATATAGCAACAACATTAACATTTTCACCATCATTATTCACACTTACAATACTGTTTCCTGTGACCAGAAGTCGATTGGGATGATCAGTTTTCCTCTGTCTTTTGGAAGCCCTTTGTCCAACTGCAGAGGAAGACTGTGAACCTGGGTTTAAAGAATTTTCATGCCCCTGCAAGTTCTTCTCAGACACAAGTTTCAAAAGATTTTCTATAATTTTCAATTTTGTCAAGCCTGTGTATTTTCTTTCTTTGCCATCTCTGCACAAAGTATCTCCAAAATCTCCTGTCGGCTCCATGATTGTAGCAATTCGGGTGCACCATGTGGCCACTTTGACAGTTCATAAACAAACTCTCTCTTTTCCTCCATGCTCATCTTGCTGCATTTTGACGGATCAAGCATGATTCCTGCATCCAAAGAAAATATAAATATAATGAATCCATTGTTTTGACGATAAAGAAGCTAGCCAATTACAGAAAATTGCAGATAATTACAGGAAAGAAAAGGAAATAGAAAAGAAAATGAATCCCCAAGTTTAGTATGTCAAAGTGTTCCATGGAAAGCACCTTAACCTCAAATTTAAATCCTCAAGCTAAACCCCCCAAGCTACTTGTGTTTTTTCCTCTGATAAGAGTGTAATTTACAGCAGTTATCCCAATAAGAATTGACTTTAAAGCAGAACTTAAACCAAGCAGGTTTTAGTTGACAATTCATAATGTATTAAAACTGTGAAAGATCTAATTCCTTAGCTAGCCGATTGTAAGCTCCATCTATAAATATATATTAGCCTTTGCTTTCCATTACCTAGAGTGGTAAATATTCCATATGTCAACCATAAATGTACTATAGGAAAAAAAAAAAAAAATGAACTGATTGGACTGGTTAAACACACACACACACACACACACACAGATCCCAACATCTAACAGAGTCGGCTTCTTGCAGGAAAGTCCGAAGATCATACTAAGGAAATCACTGTTGGCACCTTTTGGCGTTGACTAAAGCAGCACTGTACTGAACCACCTCTGTTTGACTTTGATTTGCCATAAGTCTATGCCTCTTATCAGGGCCGCCAAACATGCCCGTAGAAATATATCTCCCAATAAAACCAAACATTAATACTAAAAGCAGGGAAAAGCTTTTGCTCAAAAATTATAATACTTTTATATAAAATAAACCAACTCTCTAAGTTTTAAACAGAATCATACTCATCCACAATGCGTTTTAGTAAGAACCATGAAATGTAGAACATCAAATCAGTTTAGAATCTACAAAAGAAGCAAAAAATTCTCTAACTAAACAAAAAATTTAAGGAAATTGTACTACTACTAAATCACGAAATTTACAAATCATAGACTACCATGCAATATAGCTAATAAGCAGATCAGCTAAAACTCTGAATCTATCGACAAAAGGACCTTCAGAAGATTCAACCTTGAGGAGGAAAAAAGGGCGAAAATTCGAAGTCGTCGATGTAATTAAGAATACTAATTCAACCACAACTGACCCAGAATAATTAAATAAATAGAGATTAAAAGAGAAAAAAAACGAAAAGACAATAATAAGACGAAGAGGATTACCCTCGAACCACGAAGAATTCATAGCTGTTGTTCAATAACCAACCGCATTACCGCCAAATCCCCAACTTCTCCGAATCTGAAACAGACAAATCAAGTGAAAACGCAGATAGTTGAAAGAACATACATGTATTCACATACATACATATCTCTGTGTGTGTCTATAGAGAGTGAGTGTGGAAAGAGAAGGCGAATACAAATACCAAGAAGAGAGAAATTCTGCAACTAGGAGGCGAATCCTGGACTAGAACGGGTCCTCAACGTGGGCTTTTCAGGACCCGAAGCAGGGAAAGGAGAGATTCGAGGAACCTAGAGAGAGAGAGAGAGAGAGAGAGAGAGAGAGAGAGAGGGAGAGAGAGGAGAGAAGAGCGGAGAGAAGAGGAGGCCGCAGAGAGAGAGAGAAACGGATGATGGGGAAGCACCAAATAAATGAGGCCAGCAACAAGGGCAAAAGCGGCTGCATGCCCATCTTTTTCACCCTCCCCCTCCCTCAACGCTACCTGCCCGTCTTCTTAATTATTATACATATTTTATATACATATTATTTATGTATATTTTCGTATAAATACAAATAACAACACGTATATTTTTACATATAATAATTTAATAATTTGCTGTATTAATAATTTATCAAGAAAATTTTTAATACAAAAGAAAGAAGCAAAAATTTACTAAAAAAAATACCTCCAATTAAATTAGTTAATAATAACGATTAAGAGTTAGACATGACTCATTCAAAATAGTAAAATTTCTATTATAACTAATCTCTAACTTAAAAAAAATATTTATTAAGTATTTACTTATTACAAATAATGAGAGATTATGACAAATTAAAATAACTGAAACAATTCAATCATATATGTGATTTTTACACCATGTAAATGCATTTATGAGATCAAATGGTTAAAAAAATATGTTTTATAATTTGCTATCCAAAATTAAAGAAATAATTGTTAGTTACTCTGCAGAAAAAAAATGACTTTTATCAAATATTTGAAAATTTATTTTGGAGGTTTTATAAAAAAAATTAGTTTATCACTCAAAAAATAACTTTATAACAAATTAATTTTATAACTGTTTAACCAGAAACTAATTTTTTATATAAATTAAATTTCATAAAATTTAATTTTGTATATTATTAAAAAATAGAAATTAAAAAAAATTTAAATACCAACCACCTAAATGTATGATTTTCTAAATATTCTCTCAAAAATAATTTTCAAACCAACTTAGCAAATGACTCTTTTACTCCCAAAAGTAGAAAATAGTTTTCAAAAAACAAATCCAACTAACACATAAAACCTGACTTACACGATTATAGATGGATAACCAACACATAACCCAACTTCAGTAAGCTCTTCACCAGGGTTAAGAGACTCCATTTTTGTTTTTATATTTTATATTTAGCCTGAAAAATATAGGCTGGCAACCAGAATAAATACCTATTTAAGCGTAATTAAATTGTAAATACCAACCAAGGTTAATTAAGAGAATTCACTTTTCGGTTCTTTCACCCAAAAACGACTTAAAATGGCAACCCGATTGGAGAGTTGGGCCATCGAACGCCTGGTTTACACAATTTTGTAACCAAAAGGAAAATTTATATTTAACGTTTGTCTCCGTGTAGCCCAGTTAATTATTTTTTAAAAATATTTATTTACATAAGTATTATTTTTGTCTAAAATTCTTTTGGTAAGATAAATAAATAAAGGTTCAGCCCATTTTAATTGCTTGTTCAGTGCTCCTATGCAATTCATCACTAACCGTATTTTACAATATCCTTGAATTAAAGGAAGAAAAAGGCTGTTGACGTAAGCGTCCTTTTGCCCTCATTCCAAGGAAAATGTCACAAAAGATATACAGGGGGAAATCAAAGGTTAATATTAAAAAAATGAATAGCACTTTATATTTTAAAAAATTTTAAATTTTAATTTAATATTTTTATTAACACATATAATAAATATTTTTTAAAATATTAAATTCATAACAATTATCATTTTTAGATATTATTTGAGTACAAAATTTTTTAAAAATTTTATTTTAAAGTGTATAAATATTATTACAAATTTAAATAATGACTATAAATATTTAAAATAAGAAAAAATTAGTCAATATTTGTAAGTAAAAAGATATTTTATTTTTTTAAAATAGTAATTTCACCAAATATTCTTTTAAAATATTAATTAGGGTGTCAAATACTATTAATTTAATATTTACATGGGCATACCTCACTTGTTAAGATATACCAAGACTCTGCTTGCCATTGGTTTAAAAGTAATTTAAAAAAAAAAAAAAACTTATCTGAGATGAACTAAAAAATTTAACAAATAACTCAAAACCTATAAACAAAAGTATATATTATTTAAACCTTGTATCATATTATACTACAAATCCACTTATTGACATAATATTATTATTAAATAAGTAAAATAAATAATATTTCAAAAGTAACCTTTTGTTGTTGTTATAGTCTTAAATAAGCCATTGTGTCGTCACAAGCTCAATAACACAAGAAAGATCATTGGGATAATTTTACTGTGCATCAAAATTTTTGGAAATCAAGAAATTGCTATGTCAAAATCTTTAATAATAAATATTGTAATAACCAAAAAAGTTATTAATTCTACGTCCAAGTAATTTAGTAGTAATTCTCAATAATTTTACATATTATATAATACAACATTTAAAAATCGATACAGAATATAATATTACAATATGTATTTATATCCAAATAAAACAAAAATAATATAATCCCAATACTTTAATACAATTTGTAACGATTTTAAAATTATTAATTTAACAACTTTGCAAAGTTGAAATATTGACCTAAAATATTTAAATTAAAATTGTTTATTACTAATTTTCATGAATTTTATATATTTTTTGATATCATATTAGAAAATAAATATAAGACGAAATATCACGGATATTATCTGTCACATAATCAAATGATAAAAAGAAAATTAAAATATGAACAATGTCTAATTTATACTCTCTTTCTACAATTATTCTAATAAAAATAAGTTTTTGAAGTCGCAATTTATATAATTAGTTTTCTAATTCACAAGTCACACGCTACAATATTAAATGAGTTTGACCTTACATTTATTCCTAAATTATCACAAAATAACTAGATACATAAAATAGTTTATGCGTAGAAAACTCCGTGACGGCAGTAAAGCCTCATTAAAATGACGGAATTACCCTTGCAGTGACGTCGTGCAAAGATGCTCATCCTGTTATCCAAAACTCATAGAAATTAGCGAAAGAGGATAAGCTAAGTCCAGCCGCAGCGTTATTGGGTGTTTGTTCTGCAAGGGACACTGACAAATCAAGTCGATGAACGTGGCGGATAAGGGGTTGGTGTGGCGGCACGAGTCGGACGAGGATTGGACCGTCTTCTGTTTGATGTGACGTCGGCGTAGTTATATCTCCGGCTAATCAAACAATAATCAGATAAAGTTGCGAAAGTGACAAATGCCTAACAGCCCATAAAAGATTACTAGGAAGACGAAAACTGCGTGTTTGATTGGGCGCTGCCGACGTAACAAATTGCCGAATAGAGGTTTGCTCCCTCGCAGCTAATATACGTTTTTATTATATTTTTCTTATCCAACCGAACAAAATATATGTTTTTATTCAATTATTTTATAAGTCCAACTTGAATTATATAATTCTCCCTAACAAATTAAATTCATGTTTAGTACTAATTCGTCTTTAA